GGAGGAGAAATTCAGGGAGCTGAAGTCCACAAGTCTTAAAGCTATCAGGTTTGAAGACCCCTAGCCTAGAGAAACAGCCACATCTTCCCAACCTTATACAAAGCCAATAGAGACAGGATCATTTCAGTCCGTAGGTCAAGGGTCTTCAAACTTGGCAATTTAAGACTTGTGGACTTCAACTCCCAGAATTCCTGAGCTAAGATGACTGGAGGAGAAATTCAAGGAGTTGAAGTCCACAAGTCTTAAAGCTGTCAAGTTTGAAGACCCCTGACTTAGAGTCTTGCTTGCTGCAGAGCTACTTGGGAAGCAACCAGCCCAGGAAACATTCTCCAACAAGGACTTACGGTCTTCTGCTCTCTTGTTGTTGTATCTCATTATCTGGGTGGGCATCAAAAAGGCAACACACCAAGCAAGAATGGTGTCACCAAAAGCAACTTTGTGGGTGGTGAAGTGATCTCAAGTCATCTGCCTCACGCACTGGCATCTACTGTCCTACGGTTTGTGTTGAGGAAGCTGCTAGGCTGGGACCAAGGGACTGACATGTCTGTGTGCATATCTCCCTTTTCTTGAAAATGGGTGGGGAGACCATGTTCGTTCTAAGGTATTTTCACCTGTCTTCTTCCTTTTATCCCTAATTAGAAGGCAAATCTTGGTAGTCCTTCCTTTCTCTCTCCTTTATTTAAGAGATGTTCCTGCTGTTTTTCCTTTTCTACTCAGTATAGGTAAAGGCAATATTTCTTTCACTCTCTCTCTCATCTTCCTTTCCTCCTCTTCCAAACCATGCTGAAATAAGACCACCAGGAAGTCCTCAACTTTATTGCCTAGATATTTTGTTTCCAGAGACTGGAAAAATGTACGAGAAGATACGCTTCACTTCATGCTGGCTTATGGCTTTGATGTATTTATCAGACCATTATGGAAACAGAACCTTAGATTAGATGAGCCCCAAATGAATCTAAGATTGGAATTCTTGTGTTCATTGACATAACACGGCCGATGCAGTAGGAAATCATGGTTTCTCGGTGAATGAGTTCTCCTGATTTCCTTCTCTGAAAGCATTTTTGGCCCTGGCTTGTTCTTTTCAATTTATAATCCAGCTGTAGTTTCGGATCTCTCCACCTTTTCTGAAACATACATTTGCTAGAAGTTTGGGCAACACTGATCCTGCATTGTGTTTTAAAGCCAAGGCAATCATTTCCAATCTTCTTGTGAAGAACCTGCTTATAGGAAGCTTCTTGTAGCTGGTTTCCATTGCTTCCGGTTGTTGTCTAAGTCTCCCTGAGTTCTGAATTTCACCATTCAGCCGGTGTGGGAGAAACCTGCGGACGATCTGGACGTGATGGCCATGTGGTGCTTTCTATTGGTTTTCCCATCTCCTTTGCTCTTCATACTTCTAGTTGCTTTTTCCCACAGCTTTTCTTACATGCTGGCTAAGCCTGGCACATCAACCAACCAAGATAAAACCAACTTGCTGATATGAAGATGTACCTGTTAACAAATGAACTTTTTTTTGCAGATCCCCCCCCCCCGCCCAAAGTCATGTCTAAGCCATGGCCAAGCTTTAATACTTGCTGGCTTCAGTGGCCAATTTGGAAATTTGGAAGCTGATTCCAACAGGTTTGCAACCCATCACCTGTTGGGCTGAGCTCTGAGGCAGGCCTCCCTCACTTTCTTTGTTGATGGAAACTGTAACACCCCCCCCCACACTCCCCATAAAGAAAAATGGCAAGTGCTGATGGGGGGAAATGGTGGCTTGCCACCTGCTCCTTCTCTTGCTGACCTTCTGTATCACACTTGTACTGTAGTATGCTCCTGATGACTACAATGGCCTCATTCAGCTCAACGACCAAGCAAGGGGCGTGTTACAAGCACCGAAAGACTGGGTTTGCTTGTAAGTGTTGGTAACCGCCAGAGAAGGTAAGCTTGGATTGGCTGAAGCGGAGCTCTTTGGTGGTGAATGGAAATGATTCTGCGGGGGAGATGATTTTTGTTCCCTTTTCCCTTTCTTTCAAACCAAAAAAAAATTCCCCAAACCAGCCAATCACGTTTCATCCTCCCTTCCTAGCTCATGATGGGATTTTGCTTGCTTAACACTTCCTTGCTTGGGCACGTCGCATGACTTCACTAACTCAATGGTGATGTTGAACGCCTCAATTTGCTTGTGCTTCTGGATGAACATTGAGGAGAACGTTGGGAGGTTTGGGGCTTTTGAAGTTTGTGTGGCATTCTCTCATTCATTGGGGTTGTTGCTGTTTTGGGGAAGCAAGGGTTCCTTCCTGCAGCCATCAACAGCTGTGTGGGCCACTCTCCATTGGTCCTGTGGTCAGATGTGGAGCAGGAAAAGCAAAATATTGGGGACGGAAGGAAGAGGAAGCGTCATTTAATTGGTGTCCTGGTGGTTCTTCCATTTCTCACAGCCCACTTGGGAGACCCCAAGAGGTCTTGAGAATGCTTAAGGCCCAGCCACCACCTGCAGGGTACCAGTTTAGGAAGGGTACGGTGTGACTAGTTAAGAGTTGGGGATTTATTTGCCTAGGTTTCAGATCTGCTTTGTGTAGTCTGGCTGCTAACTGGTCAAGCAGATGATGGTAGAAGTGTTCATAGCCCTCAGCTTCTTCAAAAGAATGAGCCAATCAAACATTTGGGAGTCTGCTGCCTCAAACATGCTGGGGTGTTTTTGTAGAAAACTGACATCTTCACACCGGTTATTTGATAACTGTTAAATTTCTACTACTGGTAGATCTCTGCCCATCAGACACAGGGCAACAGGAGCTCATGGCGGACTCAACGCTGAACATGTGTGGACATGCATCCAATTCCCTCCCCACTGCCAAAGCAGCTACCATAGAGAGAGATTGTTTTTGTTGTTCCCTTTTCCTCCAGTGTTAGCTCCAAGAGCAATGTCCAACCTAGCAGATGACTCCTTCTTGGCTTGGAGAAGGCCATGCTTGCATGCATTATATCCTTGTGGACTATTTGAAACATGCCAAGCTACATTTAAGATATCCGAGCATTTCTATAATACATGAACTTACCATGGTTTGTTTTCCCTATTGTCTAGCTCACTGTTTCTCAACTTGGCAACTTTAAGAGGCATGGACTTCAATTCCCAGAATTCCATACATCTTAAAGTTACTAAGGTTGAAAAATACTGCTCTAGCTTGTCAAATTGATCTTGGAACACGCAGAGTAAGTATGGATTCAAGTTGTACTTTCTTTAAATAACTTCAAACTCAGCTTGCTTGCTAATGTGGTGGACAAGCCATCTTCACCATACAGGAACATAGTTTAGCACATATACCCAGGTTTTGAACCCAGGTTTTGGGGTTAGCTTTTGGTTCAGTGTATTGCACAAACTCAGGAAGTGGGTTTATTTCTTAGGCAGATTAAATATAGGACATCCAGGACTGGAGCCATTGTCTCATATGATCCTCCCAAAGATGCTGATTTCAGTTCTGGGGAGATTGCCACTGAAATCTAGAAGGGCCTTTCTGCCTTTGTGTTTTGCTAAATGATTATGCCTGACAGAGACTGTTGAATAGAAGTCCTGCAAAATGAGCTATTTCCTTGCAAAGAAAACCACAACCCATTGCATTACAGATAATCCTCAATTTACGACCTCAATTGGGACCAGAATTTCTGGTGTTAAGTGAGTTACACCCAATTTTACGTCCTTTTTTTCCCACCATGCTTGTAAGTGAATCACATCATCGCTAAGCAAATCCAACTTCCTCCCTTTGGATTTTGCTTGTCGGAAGCCAGCTGGGAAGGTTGCAAATGACCATCGCACAACTGCCTCTGGATGCTCCAACCCTTGTAAACACAGGATGGTTGAGAAACGCCTGGATTTTGATCATCTGATTGTGGAGATGCTGCAGTGGTCGTAAGTGCAAGGACTGGTCGTAACTCACTTTTTCCCCGTGCCTTTTGTTATGTCAAACAGTCAGTAAATGAATGGTCGTACATCGAGGACTGCCTGTATTTTCCCCAAATTGTTGGTTTAAATGGCAGAGGTTATCTTGGATCTGCTGAGAGTATAATAATGCAAACTGTTTTGGTCTAACAATTCTTTTTGCGGTGGGGTGGACTATGTGAAATCAGCTTTGTTCCTTCTTAAGTCAATGTTCATTACTGCTTGTTCTCTTCTATGCCCTTTTCAATGTTTGCTATTTTGGGGGGTGAGGGTGACTTAAAAGTACGCGACTAAAGATTACCAACTTGGATCCCACAGGTAAGCAATTCTAGAAATTAAAGATCAGGATAGAAAGGCAGGATATAAATGAAATTGAGAACTCCTCTCTGAGCTTAGTTGTTTTCTTGCAGACGTTTCGTGACCCAACTAGGTAACATCATCAATACTAGTGAGCTGATGCGGTCATGAAACACCTGCAAGAAAAGAACCAAGTTCAGAGAGCACCAAGGAGCCCCTCATTTCAAGCCTGAGCTACAAATATCCTTCTCTATCGATAAATGAAATTATGATCTGAAAGGGGCTGTAGGAGTTACCAAGGCTTATAGTGGACAGACCAACCTGTGGCTTATTCAAGGCAGTTGGGTGCAGTCTACCTGTGCATGGTTTCCCATGGGGTCGGTTTTCAGAGAGG